CTTTTATTTGGTTTGTTACTGCAGTGCAAAAACGCGTAATGTCGAAGGGTTGTCTGTGTGTGCATCTGTGTATCTATGTGTCTGTGTGTGTCTGTACCACTTTTTCATCTCGAAACCTACAAAAGCTACAAAACTGAAACTTTGGGAACTTAATCTGCATGCATATGCAAGTGTGTACATCTAAAACGGGCACTTTTGCCCACGTGGTTCCCACGTGTGGACTCGTGAAATTTTTCTGCGGGTAACTTGCTAACTCGGGGACCTGAAAATCTAGAAAGGCAGAATTTTAAGTGAATGTTTTCTCTTAGTCGTAGTGGCCAGTCTCAATTTTTTTAGCTAGAAGCATCTACCAAAAAAAAACAGTGCCGTTAGCGACAAAAACCTGCGGGAACTGTGCAAAAAACGCACTTTCGCACAGGCAGTTGGTGTGCTGGGCAATTATTTTTCTAGTAATTCGTGTCTTTACTAATCTTTCTTGAAAAGTTGGTAAATGCCAATACATGTTTTGGTGATTTTAGACATCCAAAAGACAAACTAAATAGATCATACGGCATAATTTCATGTTTGAGCTTCTACGCTGCTGTGTGTTCCACTGATTTTTAGAAGCATTTTCAGCCTGACACCGCTAGCAATAGTATCGGAATTACGTCAAGGTGTCACATGTATGCATTTGCAAGAGTCCACTGGTCGCCTGGTTACGGCCGGTGTCGATCGCGTCCTGATGATTTGGGATGTCAAACAACTGGTGTAAATAACAGGCCTTTGATGCGCAGTACTTATTTTTTTTTCTTTTATTTTTTTGCTAAGCGCCTTTAGCTTGTTCAAATCGTTTTAACAGTACAGAGGAATGATAAGTAACGGCCATTAGAGGGGGCCAAATCATAAGTGGACGGTCCAAGTGGAGCGACCGAAGTGGGTTAAACTGATAATTTGCGGCCCTTGCTAGGCCGAACCGTGATTTCTGAAATAAGCGGCCAGTCCAAACGTTCTGATTGGGAACAGATCTTCTTCAAATAAAAAGGACACATACACTTAAAACATTGGAAAAATTGAGTGCAATTAAACATTGCAGATCCTCCTCGGTAGTCGAGATTCTGTAAGAATCATTGTCGTACTCTTACTTACTGTACCGATACAACCGAAGAGATTTTGAAGAGAATTGATAGAAAGAATTCACTACGTTTTTCCGTATTTCCTTTAATAGGTGTTATACGTTTGTTCATTCCCATGAGCACATATGATCAAGTTCAGGGTTTACAGCGAAAGCTAGGAAGCTGAAATTTTTTTTCTTGGAAAATAAAACTTTTGCGAAGTACAAGCCCTTTGATGTAGTTTGAAACAGGTTTCGCTACAGAGAAAGTTTTTCCAGCAAAAACAAGAAGCACTGATTTTGTTCCTAGTTTTGCGAACTATTAATATTGATACAGAAAAAATCATATTTTTGCATCTTTCATGATACTGTGTTCCCTTTTGACTTACCAATAATATCATCACTCTTTCTGGATGTCTCGGGTAACTTTGTTTT